CATCAGCCCAGGAATTGGTTTTGTTCACGTGGAAATGGGCTTTATCTCTGAGGAAGACAAAAACAAGCATCCTTAGCATCTCGTTATTTTATTGCTAGCTCTCCGATTTTCTGGATTTTAATATTTCATGTTTTTTGGTTAGTGTATGAAGTTAATGGTGGTGCTTTGTAGTAACAGTGAGTGAGCACAGTGGATATTGAAGCAGCAAGTAGTTATCCTCCGTTGTCTTTGCAATCTGACCTGGTTTCCTAATTTACAGAAATTTTCTTAAAATTAGGAGGGAAAATCACTGGCATGTTGAAGCGCTGGCAGTTGGGAAGCCATGTGCTTGCCTTGGCAGTCAAGTCAGTGGTTAATACTGAAGGGTAACAAAGAAATTGGGGGGGCACAATCAAAATCAAATTGAAATAGATTGTTAACTAATCCTTCCGAATTTTATTTATTAATTTTGTAATTATACCAAATGAAATCCTCACAAGCTACTCTGATTGCTTCGCTTACCTCAATTTATATTCAAATCTCAATAAAATACATATCAGCCTTTTCTTAATGAGGTGATGAAAAATGCTATCCCGTGGAAGAGTAGGGTACACACATTCCAACATTACTTACAGTCACCTGTTTGCTTTTTAATGTTGCTATTGAATTTGTATTTAACTCGGGATTAAAGTATAAGCTGACGTATTTGAATAAGGATATCTTTAAGCCATGGCTTCTTAAAATTTAAAAAAAATATGACCACACAATTGGTTGATAGAAAGAGATTTTAAAACTTGAAGCATGCTGAATAGCGAAGACTTGGTATTACTGTTGACGAGATGCACAAAGCAGAGTTTCCTGAAGACCTGTAGAGATAATGGAGTCCCACTGTAGAGACAAAACGTGGGGTGTATCCGTGGCAGTGATGGCAGGGAAAGGCTCCTGGCTCCCGTAACGAGGTGCGGGTGCTGATGGGCAGGGAGGGGGGGGGACTTCCCTTGGGAACCTGCCTGGGACGGCGCAGAAAGAGGTGGTGCCGCCGGGAGCTGCCCGTGGCGGGGAGCAGGGGGGTTAAAGCAGCAGTCCTGCCCTTCACACGGACAGGGCGAAAGCATTAGGATGGTTGGCAGGTGCTTTGTTCCCTACGTGCTAGACAGCACTCAAACAGTAAAAAGTATTCCCCATCCTCAGTGGCTGCACCATTTTACGAGTTAGCAGAGCTTTTAAATGCCAGCAAGAACTTGTCGGTGACTACCGTTTACTCACAAGTGTATATCTCAGGTCACCTCTGAGGCTTTAAAGGGGTTTATATTTATTATTTTTGAAAGGCAGGCTTTTGTATGCTTTTCAGAGTGGCTCTTTCTCACCAAAATAAGTGACTCATAATGACTGGGTTTTGGTCAGATTTTCCAGATGACTCTGGAGACCATTTTTAATGATCTTCATTGTAAATTTAAAAAAATACAACCCAAACCAAAAAAACTTTGCTCTTTAAATATAGGTGACTTTGTCCAAAATGAGCTAAAGCGCAAACTAGGTTTGCTTTCCCAGTTAATAAAATGTGCTATTAATGGGATGGTGAGCAAATGTCACATTCACATGTTGCTATCTATCACAGCAAATCAAAGGCTACTGTTTGGCACAAGAGGTAGAAAACGCCACGTTGTACTAAAACTGTCATAGGATCGGTGACTCCTGCTTTTGTAAATAAACCTCTCTGCTTTGCCTCGGTATTTCTGTAACATCCGGAGACTATTACCCTGTGCTGGTGCTCTGGTTCATTGACAGTTTCACTTAAACGGTTAAACAATAATTTGAAATGGAAAATGTTCTGCCCATGTTCCTTAATTCCTTAATTGTGGGTCTTTCCTTCCCCCCTCCCCCTTTTTTTTTGTCAATTGCTTTAGTAATTGTGTCTCATTTTTTTGTTGCACAGGAAAACACCGAACTGCTCACAAGCCTCATTCAAAGCCAAAAGTATCAAACGTTTTTGAGGTAGATTTTCCAGCAAATGGAAGTGATACAAAATCAATGGGCCGTTTTCAGTCAGAGGAGGAACTGTGGGCCCGCTTAGAAGAGCTCGAGAGACAAGAAGAGATACTTGGTGAACTTGACAGGTATAGTACTGCTGTAGCACGTTGGGGTTTGGATTTCCGAACGCTATAGGTGTGTGATTCTGTTCGCACACAACGGATCTCACTGTAAGTGCAAATAGTTGACTGGTCTGATGCAGTTAAAATTATAATAGGTGGAAGAAGGGTGGAACATGAACAAAACGTGCACTCAAGGCCAAAGGTGCTAAAATCTGCCTCTGTGCAACCACAGCAGTGCAGTGTTATAGTGTATTTTCTTTGAGGTGATACAAAAGGGGAAAGGAAAATCCATTTCCCACAGTCTCCATCGTTTACAATGTAGGAGTTACACTTTTAATGTTTAATGACTTCCTTAGGTCTGTTCTGATCCTAAGGTATACATATGTCATTAGCCAGAGCGTCGCACTTTTGGTAATTCCAGTTGACGTGGAAAGGACATAGTGACTTATACAGTATAAAAGAAGTTCCACAATCTGGCTGAAAGTATAGTAGTTGCGTAAAGAAAGTAACATACGGGCTCGTTGATTATGCATGTATTTCTCAAGAGTATGAATCACCTCAGTTCACTTAGATATTTTTCACTTCATAGGATGCCTGATACAGTTGAGACAAATGGAGAAGATACAACCTCCTCTGAAGAGGAGAAAGAAGATAAGAGGACAGATCTGAATGGGACATACAGAGGAGAAGACTGTACTACTCAGGGCAACTTCCATAAAGACATAACAAATTCAGACTTGTTTGGTGGCCAAGTTAATGGCTCTACCTACTATCACAGTGATGATGAAGATGACGTAGATGTTGGAGATAGCTCTGTTCCAACTATTTTTTTCTCTCACACTGTGGAACCTAAAAGGGTTTGTACTTTATTATTTTCATCTTTCTATCAACAGATAACACATACATACCGTACCTAAAATAGGAAATTTTAGATAATGTAGAATGCTGACTGTAGGTGACATTTATTTGGCTTTTTTTCAAATGCTTGAAACCCACTGTTAAAATCCAGCGGTTTCAAATATGGCATTAAAAAAACTGATCTTCAAATGTATACCTTACTGTTCTGGCTCCCGGCTGTTGTAAAAGGTAGTGTCCTGACTAGGAGTTTTTAAAATGACTTTTTACTTGACTTGAAGTTGAGTGTTGAACAGCTCAGCCGTTGAGCAGAGCTTGAATAAGCACTTTAATGCAAAGAAATGTCCCAGCCTAGTGCAAGTGGTAAAGAATAAACAATTCACACTATGAATGTTACCGTTCATACAATTGTTTAACTTAAGTATGCTTCGTAATCCCCGACTGCTTGGATATGGGAATGTCAGAAGTCAGTTGATCTGCAGCCTGGTGATTGTTGATTTTATGGTCTAGACCATCATTTGTGTTCAATTTTCAGGTAAGAATAAATACAGGAAAAAATACTACTTTGAAATTCAGTGAAAAGAAAGAAGAGGCCAAGCGTAAAAGGAAGAACAGCAATGGCAATGGCCATGCAACTCCAGAACTGCCTAACATCAAAACCCCAGCAGACATTTACCGGTGTGTAATTTATAGTGTTGGCGCGTGAGCTTTCCCCTTAGCAGACCTTCTCTTTTCATTTCTGTTCACCTATCGTGTGAAACCGAGCCTACTGTTTCCTGAGAGAAACAGCTGGAACTGAATTTACTACTAAAAAATGAAAGTTTGTGGCTTCTGCATGGTTGCCGTGCTTTCATATCCATAAAACATTTCTGAGCTTAAAATTTCCTTTTCCAACTGGCAATTCATCATTTATCTACTTTTTCAGAGCTTCTGAAATTGAGGTAAATTTGCCAGTATATATCATCTGCATAAAGGAATACAGCAGTTGGTTATGTATTCTGGTTAATGTGGTGTCATTTGCTTCTGTGTTTGTTTTCAAACATAACTGACCAGTTCTATCGCTTAAAATACTTCCCCTTTCCCAATTACTAATTGCGGGATTTTGTCTCTTCCTTCCAGTATCTTCAGGATATACTCAGGTCTTTGTTTGCATGGTTTCTCTTGCATTCTCTCTCTATGACTTTAGTCCATTGCTGTTTCTGTTCTTTGTAAAAAGAAGTGCTCACCTGTAGAACAGCCACACTCAGCGAGCTTGAAAAACAATGTTGGGCTTAGAGGACTCTATAAAATACCAAACTAAGGTGACGGGAGAGTTAAAACAAGTATTCAGGTTTGTAAAGATGAACATAGACACGTATTAGCTTGGTTGATTAAGTGCTTGTGAAAATCACGCTGCATTTGTATGTCAGTGTATTCAGGCACCTAAACATCTTAAAAAATGTGTCGCAAAGTGTGAAAAGTTCAACCCCATCCTGTAATTACAGTTGCTGGGGCTGCAGATGAGGTAAAGGATTCTTTCACGGTGCTTTCCCCGAGCTCTGCAAAGGGACTCCATCTTCTGTAGAGATATGCAAGCGTTCCCCTGAGTGCCTGGTGAATAAAGCTGTTAAACAAGTAACATCCTTAAAACTCGTGCAGTCATTGGGCTCTGCTCCACCCACCCGTGACTTCTTTAAGTCATGAAGATGGAGTACAAACTGTAGGAAGAGGCCTCTGTCAGTTTACAGCTTGTTAATACTTGAAAAGTGTCTTCATGTCGATCCGGTCTTAAAAGCTGATTTTTTTACTTTTCTATTTTCCTTTTTTTTTAACTGGCAGCAGAAGATTATGGCACCTGTCAGGAAAAAGCGTTGTCCTTTCCATGTGCAGTGAATGATTCCAGTATTTGGGTTTTTTTCTACATTTGACAGGGACGTCATTCTAGAAAACCTTCCGTCATTGTGACCTTCTGTTTCCTGACAGAAACAACCCTGACAATCGTTTAGTTTACCTTTTTTTCTAACTTTTTGTAACTCACGCTAGTCTGTTTTCTAACGCTTTCCGAAGAGCTATACATTTTCTGCTGAAAGAGTG